GATCTGATGCGAGAACAAAGTCCCTTTCTTGTTTGCGTCCCCAATCAGGTCAGTGAGTAGAGAGAGGGCCATAAGGATGGACCGATATCCTGGTCCGTCCCGCGTCTCACGTTGTACATATTGGACAAGTGTATCCAGCATGCCTTCGAGCCCTGGTGGCTCGCAGTTACGGAACCACTCCAACACGGTTTGCTGGAGTTCTTGAACAATCCAAGAGTTGGTTTCGAAGTATCTTCTCGCATGAAAGACGGCATCTATCGCGTCGTAGTCAATCACAAAGAAGTTCGGGCAGCTCTTTTCTAACAGACGAAGTGTCCCAACGACCTGGGTCTTCACGTCTGCGTAGTCACCATTGTGTTTTCTATCTGGGCTTGGTTCTTTGCGCAGCTCCACCAACAGTCCGTCGAGCAAATCATCGAACACTGGCCGAGTGAAGAGTTTCTCTCCATGATAATGAATAAGGTCCTGCAGTTTTCGGTATGCAAATAGGTCGAATGACCTGGAGCGGATTCGTTGACCCGCAACCCGGACCATCTCTTTCGCATTCTCTAGTTGTTCTGAATGTGGACTGATGTTCCTTCGTTTGTTGCTCAGGCGATTGCGGATCTTGAAGCGCGCGTAAAAAGGCTCGGATTCTTCAACACGTCGGTGGGGTTGAGGTGTATGTTCAACAGAGTCAATCGTCTTTTCGTCGCGACGTTCTGGTTCACTCACAGGTGATTTGCTCGGTACATTTTCGCGACGATCTAGTTTATTGATAGATAATTCGCCCAAGGCAGTTTCATCGCGACGTTCTGGTTCACTAACAGGTGATTTGCTCCGTGCATTTTCATCGCGACGATCTAGTCTATTAATAGATAATTCGCCCAGGACAGTTTCATCGCGACGATCTGGTATGTTGATAGATAATTCTCCCAGGGCATTTTCATGGTGATGATCTGGACCACTAATAGGTGATACGCTCGGTGCATCTTCATCGCCACGGTCTAGTTCATTGATAGATATTTCGCACGGTGCATTGTCATGGTGGCGATCTGGTTCATTGTTGGATGATTCGCCCAGGGCGATTTCATCGGGAAGATCTGGTTTATTGATAGATAATTCGCCCAGGGCATTTATATCGTAATCATCTGGTTCATTGTGGGGGGATATTTTGGGAGATGTGTCGGGAGATGTTTCGGGAGTTGTTTTGGGTGTCGTTTTGGGGGATGTTCTGGCCCGAATACCTCTCTTGATCGCAGCGAATTGTTCAGACAAGCTGGAACGCTTTCTAACCTTACTCGTCACCTGGGTCCCATCTTCGTTGCTCGCGTTAGGTGCAACTGGGTCGACGGCCATCGTCATGGGAATATCGAGTTTCTTGGGCTTGCTCTTAGTTGAGCTAGCCGCTTGCCCCAAGTTTCCTACCCTCTTAGGTCTTGGCGAGCTGTCAATGTGAGCGCGTTCTGTGGCGGCGGTTTTGCGAGAAGAATATGGATCGGCAGTCGCGGGGCGCGCCAATTCGGGTCGGCGGGGTTTAGCACCAGGTCGCATAGGCGCAGAAGAAAGTGAAGAAAGAGGTGCCCGAGCGGTGCGCCCAGTAGACTTAGCCGGGTGATCAGATGTCTTCGTTTCACCAAACGACGACTGGGCCGATTCCGGTCGTGGAGGTAAAGTCTTGGCTGGTGCAAGACGAGCTTTTTTGTGTGCTGCAATGGCCTCTTTCAAGGCGGAGCGACTAGGCACGGTGAGAGTGTCGCTTGACAAGTAACTTAGTTGATCACGGTTTGGATTCGCCGGATCTTTTTCGAGTAGGTGGCGGGTCTTGTTGTCGAGATCGGATAGAATACTGTGAGGTGTTATCAAACCATTCATCCAGAAATGAAAAGAAATAACTCACTTGTTGCCCCTTGTGGGCCACATCCGATAGAAAGTCCAGAAGGCGCCCCTCATCGCTTCTCTTATGCCTGGATTAGCATCGGTGAGTCCCCTCTTTAGGGACTTCTCAAGAAGTGCTAAGCCGCCACCGTGCTCAAGCGAACTCTTGTGGTGGCTTTGCTTGTTGAGCAAGGTTTTAAGCCACCCCGCAGCAGAGAGACGTAACTGAACGTTCTTGTCCTGGCATGCGCTCGTCACATGTTGCAGGAGACGTGGAGTGTAAGTCACATTTGCTAGGACGTCGTTAACGGTGACATTACCGTTTTGAGCACTGATCTTTTTCATCCCGCCACAAAGTTTGATCAGGTTCTGCATAATGACCTCAACCATCGGGTCCATTCTGGATCCGCCGATCTTGGCTAAATCCTGTATCAAGAGGCACCCATGGGTGGACAAAGTGGTGCGAAGGGAGTTGACTGCTTTGAAAATGCCATCGAGATTCGACTTAATCCCGGTAAAGAATGGCTGATGGAAATCCTGGGGTGCGTTGCCGTAGGTAAGCCGGCGGAGAGAAATAATGTATTTCTCACGGTGTTTCCAATTGTCCTCGGACTCGCGACCCTCGAAAGCAGGAGACATCACGCGGAAGAGATCTTCGACGTGCCTCGGCGTTTCGGCATGAAGAGGCTTAGGAGTTTCACCTTCCTGGGAGCTCGATTGGGCAGGTTCCATATGTGATACTTTTTCTGCCTCAGGAGCCGCAGCTGTAGTCCGTTCCCGTTCGCTCTTTGATGAGCCAGGGCGGCTTTTGATCGGTTCCGGTTCCACAACCACTGGTGTGGCTGGCAAACATTAGAACGGCATGGTTATCAATGCAGAGGGAAGTAAAGCAAACTCACCTTCTTTAGAGGGTCTTAGAGGGGCTGAGGAGATCACAGCAGCAGACTGCTGGTGTCCGAGCTCTGCTCGAGAGGCGGCACGTAGAGGATGAGCGTCCGTGCAGGGGGTATACCGAGGCTCTACTCGTGAGCGCGGGCGAGCTGTGGAAGAGTGGTCTTCAAGTCCGATATTTGCATAAACTGCATTCATGATCGATTGACGAACGTTCTGAGCAGTCATTTCTTTGGTCAGGTCTGCTTTAGCCCGTGCAGGCGCACCCCTAAGCCCTTTGTTAGCCACACAATTGATCCTAAACAAAACACTTAACCCCAGGCGAGATCATACTGAAATAGTTCGACTACAGTCGATTTGGCAGTGTGTCTCACGAAACTATCTGCATCTTCTAAGCATGAAACCACGCTCGGCACATATGATCGGAAAAGGAGACCGTGATTTCTCGACATCTGCGAACGCCGGGTAAGTAAAAGATGCAACTGTAGAAGAGTATTAACCTACGTTAGATAGCCATATCAGGCTTGTCTCTTTGGCCTTGGGGTTTTTCCCCGTCAAGGCTACTTCGAGTACATAGTGCTCTACGTCAGCGCTGGCAGCTGGCCATAAGTCGGTAAATATTTGAGCAGCTTGGGCGCGGACACGCTCTTTGTGGTCTCCCAGGCGCTCTAGAAGTACAGGGCAAAAGTGACGGGCATAAGCGGAGACGACATGAGCTTGGTCCTGTATGAACAGCCGCTTCAGGAAGTGTCCAAGCGTAGAGAAACCGGCTGCGTAGAGGGCGGCGTGGTGAGATGTGATCGCCAGCCGTAGGCTCTCGAAGATCAAATCCACTGCATTATCGGGAACATTTTTCTGTTTTATATCAGATTTGATGCTCAGCAGGTGGCTAACCTTGGCATCAATCGCAAGGTTATTGTTCTTCAGGACCGCCAGTAGCTCTGTAGCTTTTCCTTCCATGTTGGGTGCGAGAAAATGTTCAATCCGACAGACAACTCGGATGACATATAGAAGGACAAGGTCGAAGTAAACGAGGAGACGTCTGATAGTCTTCACATAAAGGATCAAGATAAACTTGAGTGTTGAGATAGGTTGGCATCCAAGCTGGATGGAGAAGTAAAGGGGGAAGGCGACGTAGAGGGTCAAAACCCAAATACAGAGTGTGAGCTCGGTCACAAAAGAGGTGAGGCTGTAAAGACCCATTTTGAATGATTAGCATAAGCTGAAATATAGATGCAGGCGCGCCAGAAGCAAGTGTGCGATTGTGAATGTGAATGTGAGTGTGAATGGTTATGGTTACAAAGACGACGGGGGAGAAAGACAGACAACCTAAGCCAAACAATCCAGAAGACAGCGATGAGGAAGGAGCTCATACATACCTTGATTATGGCCGTTGCGATGGGGGGGCCGCGAGTTGAGGAGGATGATGGTGAGGAAGCTACTATCCTGACGGCGACACTTCCGAGGATGGTCTGCAGCGACGGGGGGGTTGCAACGGAAGGAGCGATAAGCGAATAGACGCGCCGATAAGCGCTTCGAACTCCACACTCTTTAGATGGTAAGAGCAATTTTAAAAGAATTTAATCAAACCGAAGTGCAAGAAGTCTTTCGGTGAAATTGAAGTGTTGACGGGCGACAGGGCGAAGGGAGTGGAAGGAGCCGAGTCGGGTCGTTGGTTCCCTGGATCTTTTTTTTCCGCTTTGTTTACCGGCAACATTGGCCACGGAAACCGCAAGTCAGTGGGGGGAGGGGATCGAATGCGCCTAAGGTCTCTGCAGCCCAACAACTTTTTGAACCAAGGATACTAGTATCTTGATTGCAATATATAGAAAAAGGGGGTGTTATTTTTTTTTTTCCTTGTTAAGGTAAAAAAAGAAAGAAGAACGATAAGATCGCATTATGCTTATGTCTAATTACCTAAAATCGGAAATAATATACTTCAGTAGAATTTGCACAGTTTTATACTTATTGGTTTGTTTCTGTTGTGTTTATGTCCAGTGTGTATATTTTCATCGCGCGTTACGTTTACAATTATACTCCGCAGAAGTCCGGGTTTCCCAAACCTAGTGAAATAATTGTTACTAGTTTTACACCTTACAATTTTCTTTATTCATTTTTCTTTATTTAAATCCACAATAGATATCAATGAATCTAAATGACATACGATCCAATCATTATTGGCCTAATACAGGTCCGTCTGGCTTCTCCACACGATCGCCGGTCGGCGTGGGCACTTGGACCAAATCCCTACCATGCGTCATGTTAAGAAAGAGGTGGCATACCTTACATAGTAGTACACAATACTGTACTTACTCCGTACCTATACCTGTACTTACTATGGGGAGGATCCATCGATGGGCAATTGGAATAGATCGATTGGCCGACTCGGTTGAAGAAGCACCGAATCAGGTCTTGTGGACAGATCGGGCGCATGCAACATGGATGTACTTACTTCTAAGTCACAATAAGTAGTGGATTTATACTCCGTTGTACGAACATTCCAGTCGAAGTATATTTTGCGCCTACAGACTCCTGTGGGGATATCTTGACGCAGGACCTACATTCTTCCGCGTCCTTCCTTGCTCATTCGATTATTGTACGGGATCCAAAAGATGTCACCTGTCGACTCTCTCCCCACCGCCATCTCCCCAGCCGACCCTAGTCCAAACAAACGGTCCACTGGGCCCCCGAAACCCAAGCTTCGTCTCCAGATCAACGATCTACGTCACTCCGGTTCTAATGCCTTCTTACTCCTCGTCCCTGACATTGCATCTACTATCGATAAAGCTCTAGCTGATATTATCGACAACCTCTACACCCCACCCCATCCCCAAGATGAACCGCACGTCGTCACCACAGCCAAGGCCCCAACCCCAACCTTCACACCCTCCATTCCGCCAACCCGATCCGTAACCTTCTTTCTCCGTGACATTGGCGGTGTAGCCTACACGACCGGTATGGAGCTGGACGATGACCACAAGGAGATTCACCTGTCTCTCCAGTATATCCTTACCGCCATGAAGCTGCCCGATCCAAGAGCCGAGATAGTCGGTGTTCTTACCCATGAGCTGGTCCACTGCTACCAGCATACGGCACCCCGCCAGGACAATGCCTCTGTGCCACGGCCGCCCGGGGGCTTGATCGAGGGCATCGCGGATTTTGTGCGTCTCAAAGCTGGCTTCGTGCCGCCGCACTGGAAACGGCCGGCGTCTGCCCAGGAGAGAGCTGAGAAATGGGATCAGGGTTATCAGCATACAGCATTCTTCCTGGAGTGGCTGGAGGATGTGCGGATTGGGAAAGGCGCAGTTGGAATGTTGAACGACCGGCTATTGCGGGTTGGATATATTGGTGAGAGCGAGACGCTGGACAACGGACGCCCCGGCTTTTGGAAGAATCTGTTTGGGTCGGGGGTCGATGAACTTTGGGACGACTACGGCAGATACCTTGATAAACATGGCCGGATGAACACGGAACGAAGCGGTGGGAATTGGGAGGATGAGATTGTCAACCCCCCTGAGTGACCTCTCTTGAATCGCATCGTTGGTGTAGTTGACAGATCCGCCATTGTAAGACTTCCGTAGATTACGAGGAGTCTCAAGTACTCTGCAGGCCCAGGTCATATAATATGCATTCATTCGGTACATACATCTATGTACTTTTGTCTAAGAATCAGCCCTTATAACGACTCAGTTCTAAGGATTGATTCCTGTCTAAAGCGGATTGGGGTGGAAATGCAAAGATGTAACCAAGACAAACGAGAAATAAAAAAAAGTTAAAAAATAGGAGAATAAAAAAAGGGTTCAGCAGAAGACATCAGACGAATGAAATAGATTTCCCATACTGTACAAAACCTGTTCTTGCAAATTCGAATAGATAATATGTAATATGCTCTTGCTCCCATCGACGACAAGTCATGTCATATAATATAACACCTTTTCCACGTGGACGCGTGTCTCTTTCTCTCTGCAATCTCATCTTACACAATCACCTCACCCAAGTCCACGTGGACTGGCTTCCAGGGTGCAGCACCTTCTTCTTCCATGGAGCTAGGGACACGCACATTCAATGGGCTATACAGGTACCAGCCCTTGAGCGCAGCCACGGCAGCCCTGGATCGAGCCTCAAGCAGACTGGCGCCAGCGCCCTCTCCCAGCTTATCCTGACCAGAGAAAATACCAACGACAAAGACAGGGTGTCTGCTCTTGCGGCCAGTTTCACTGATGATTTTTGCAACAGGTGGCTCAAAGTTCTCTCGTGCACACAGCCGAGAAAGGTCACGAGCCGGCTGGGAGAAGTTGAATAGGTCCGAGATGTTGAGGTGGCGGGAGAGGAAATGTTGCTCAAAAAATCGCTTGGCAGCCGGTCTTCCGGCATGAAGATAGATGGCGCCCATTACAGCACGCACAAATGTCGCGTTGGCGTGCTCTGCAGTAACACCCTGAGTATTCTGCGATTCCGCAGCGGCCGACTCGCCGGATGCCCTGACAGGATCTCCATACTCATTGTCGTAAACAACTCTAGAGGTCATAGACTTTCTCCATGATTTCCGGTGTTCATTGGGTCTCTCTGTGCCAGTAACTGGTTCCGCATTCACATCAGTACCTGGGAGTACTCTCTTGAACTGCAAGAGACCGGGATCAACCTCTCCACCAGGTACTGCAGCCATCTCAACACCCCATTCCTTTGCCATTGCTGCCAAAGTTTTTGGGCCGACATACGCATACATTGCCGCGAAGATGACGGTTAAGGGAAGTCGAGGATATGTACAAACAAGGTGTTCGGAGGTGTAGTGGCTCAGGAGGTCATGGCCGAGTGAAGCCAAAGCTTCATTGTTGAAATTAGGATTCGAGTCGGCTGAAGCATCGACTAGAGAGCGTGCTAATGTCTCGAGCGGTAGTCGGGAGGGGAGGTAGAGGCGTGCATGAAGGGCGGCAAGTTTTGCGGACTCGCGTGCGGCCTCAACCGGCGGAGAAGGGAGGAGGTATTTGAAGTGAGAGGACTGGGGGATGTGAGTTGACGAATTCAGCGATTGTTCCTCGAACAATGGCTCATTCTCGGCCTGAGGAGCAGGTGAAACAGTCGATTGGCGACGCAAATTATAGTACAGATGCTGCTGCAGGCGGCCACCAGTTCGGGCCCGCGGCGAAAGGACCGAACTGCTCCATCGTTGGAGCTGCAGCCTCTTCATCTGGGCAACTGTGAGGGTGGGAGACCTGAAGCGGGAGGGCGATTGGAAGGAGCGAAAACAAGATTGGGCTGCCCAGGGCGTTGCGTGGAGGTTTAGTGTAGGGGTTTCACGTCGATATTGTATAAACTTTTGACCGCTGGAGAAAAGTCGAGCTTCGGCGGAAGTCACGGGACCGGCGAGTCGTGTGAGAAAGCCCAGTGTGGCGCTAAACCGCATATGGTGTTAGCGTCACGGGTTCTGGGACGAGGGACGTCGACGGCCATTTCGGCTTCAACCCGCCAGAACAACGCTTTCCTAGCAAGCTATCGCCCACGTTCTTTCCCTACCATTGTTCAATTATATTCCAGCCACAATGGGTGGAGGCGGCAAGATCCCGTATGCGATCGATTCTCCCTGAATTACTGTTGCCGTGAGAGGCTGACCGATCTTTTACTCAGGTATCCCAAGGAAGTCTGGTCTCCCGCTGGAGGCTGGTACGCTCAGCCCGCGAACTGGAGGGCCAACACTGCTATCATGGGAGCGGTTGTTATTGGAATTGCTGCCGTGACATGGAGCGTTAGTGCCGACCGGGAACGCCGTGACAGGATGCCAGAACCCGGCAGATTCTTCCCCAGTCGCTAGTCAGTTCATCTCGAAAGTGCTCGCTGCCAAAGATCGCACGTACTGACATTCTACTCTTACACTGTAGCTGGAGCAAGCAGATTATCGAACACGAGAGACAGCAAACTGCGAAGCAGGATTCATAAAGGGGGAGCATGGGCTACAATGAAACCCTTCGGAAGGTTTATATGGCATGATAGGTATTTGTTTCATATTATTGTGGGCTGTACGACAATAGAAGGGCGTTCTTCAATCGGTCAATTGATCTGCAAGAGCTTCTGGGGAGACTCTTCGAGTGTTCGATACAATCGCTGCGTGTACAGACGGACCCGTTCCGTGAATTCAGTTCCGTTCCAAAGTTCTCCTTCATCGGTAGACGTAGACAGATGGGGCACTCCAATCTGCTCCACCACGAAACCTGCAGCAACAGTAGCAAATACCAGGGAGGACAGTATATAACTCTGCTTGCCCAATGCTTCCAATGCCTTTTCCCAGACAGCAGACCCTGCAAGCACCGAGTCAACCATTTTGGCTGGGGCCCTACCAGCAGTCACCATTCCTTGAGTCAGTGCCCCCAGAAAAGAATTACCTGCACCGGTCGGATCAACTACTGACGTATTTGCTGAAGTATCGGGTTGATGGTAAGCGGGCAACCAGATCCTCTGGCCTCTTGAGAATGCATAGCTTCCATCTTTCCCTGCCCTAATAACCAAGTGCCCAGTTCCATTCGGGCCAATGCCTGAATCAAGGATGCGTTTGACAATATCTTTCCCGAATTCGCTCTCTTCATTCCACCCCAGCTGTCCAAACATCATTCCCAGCTCCAGTTCATTAGGGCTTACCACATCTACTACCCGGTTTGCAACAAAGAATTTATCTTGCTCTTCGGGTGTGCAGAGATCAGGCACAGGCTCCCAGACAAAGAAAGGCCTCTCTGAAGCGTGGCTGCTGGAAGGTGCTTTGCCTTCTCGCAGTAGTTCTTCTCGCCGCTGCAGGATATTCTGTACAATAGACACGCAACGTCCTGCTGAACAGACCATATGAAAGGTCTTTGAGAATACCTGGGAATCGGATAGCATCCAAGGTTCCAACCGTAATTTAGGGGTCAAATATTTGAAGTCTAGCCTGTCAGTCTTCTTCTGTAGTTAATGCGAGAGGAGGTCAGGTACTCACCCCGCTTCTCATTGGGACCGTAGCCATTCCAAGCCCTGGTGGTTAATCTGCTATTGTCTTCTCTCATCACGCATGCTGTGCCCCAGGTATTGATGACCTCCAGAACCTCCGAGGGAAAGTCGGAGCCAACATCAACAATCCAACTAACAGAATGGGAGTGTTCCTTTCCAGCGACTAGACGAGCACCGACAACCGCGAAAGATGCTGCACCCCCGAGGATGTTCTTGACATTAGGTCTAGTGCCCCCGAAGTCAATATCATCTGCATGAGACAAAGGAGTTTCGTAAGTATACCGTTGGGTTTCGACAGTTCATCCGATTTGGGCGTGTTATAGCATACCGAGGATGAACATGCCTAGTGTGCAAAAGTCCACATCATTGCCAAAAGATGTAGCGTCGCTTTGTCCTATCATTATTGCTAGGTAGTAATGCGTAACAAATGTCCAAGTTGGTGGGGTTCAGTATCCGTAGTAGAAGTTCTTATCGCATCTACAGAATACCATACTACTTTGTACATGTTGAATTACCAAAATTTACCGCCAACGTCACAGTGTACAATATGCGTTACAGCCACTTATGTGTATTGTACCGTAAGACCCACTCATGGAGCTCCGGGCCTCAGGCACGGGATAAGGAGCATCATCTTTTGGGAACCGACACCGTTGCAACTTACGATTCCAACGGTCACAGCTTACTCCAGAGTCGCGAGCAAGTGTACTATCACTTGTCCCTCTGTAACTTCCATTTGAAGTGTCGGGTTGTCCTTTCTCCCTGTATCTTTCATCCCTCTTGAGTTGTCTTCGGGATCCCCTCCCTCGCTTTGATAGGGGCCATTCAAGATGGCGACCAGCCATATGCATAACCTAACTACCCTTATTAAGCGGTAAGGACCCAAATCAGCTTGCCCCAAGCACAAGCCACAGGAAACTGTCATGCGAAACATCTGTCATGCGCTTCACTTTGATGTTTCGTTATTTTAATGATGTAATAGGCTGGAAGCCGCGACCTCCCGCCTGGAGGATATGGCTATGGGACTGGATGACCCCAGTTCGCCGAAAACATTGAATGCCGCCGCTGCCCCCGAGACCGTTGCTCCTGAACCGCCAAAGCCAGCTTTCACCCCTGCACCTGCAGCTCCTGCTGTCCCACCTCAAATTGAAGACTTTGATACATTGATCAATAAGGATGTGCGGAACTTCGTGGACCTGGGAAATAAAATCGGAGACCTTGTTGCTGAACAGGTGAGACTCTCCAACTGGACGTCATTACATTGCAGTTGCGACAACCTACTGACTGGCTTTATAGTCAAAAGCCGTCTTGCAAGCTTTCGAAGCCGAGCGCACCTACCTTTATGTCTCGACGAAGGCGAAGAAGCCCGAGCCCCAGCCCCCAGAGCTCATGACGGAGCTTCACACTGCCTCCGACTCTATTAATATGATCCGCGAGTCGAATCGTGCCTCTCCACTTTTCAACCACCTCAGCGCCGTCGCCGAAGGCATCGTGGCTCTGGGATGGTTCTTTGAGCCCAAGCCAGGCGATTTTGTCAGTGAGATCGTCGGTGGCATTGAATACTATGGCAACAAGGTCTTGAAGGAGTACAAGGAAAAGTAAGACCTTCAGTATCTTGTTCAGGCGCAGAGCAAAGTACTTACGTCCTCATTAGGGATAAGACTCACGTCCAGTACATCCAATCCTACTATCAAGTCTTCAAGGCCCTTGCTGCCTATCTCAAGAAGCACTATCCGAAGGGCCTGACATGGAATGAGCAAAGCGGCATCGATGCGCTGGAAGCCCTCAGACAGGTCAAAGGTGGCTCTAGCACCGAGGCCAGCGGTTCAGCTCCTCCCCCTCCTCCCCCACCCCCTGTGCCGACGCTGAACGTGCCTGGCGGAGCTCCTCCACCACCCCCACCACCGCCTGGCGTTCCCCCGCCGCCCAGCGCGGCCCCGGGAGGTGATATGTCCGCCGTTTTTGCTCAGTTGAACCAGGGTGAGGCTATCACCTCTGGTCTCCGGAAAGTCGACAAGTCCGAAATGACGCACAAGAACCCTAGCCTTCGCGCAAGCTCAACCGTTCCGGAGCGTCCTGACTCGCAAGGCAGCATCTCTCGCTCCAAATCGCCAGCCCCGAGTAAGAAGCCTAAGCCGGAGAGCATGCGTGTCCGTAAACCTCCTCGTAAGGACCTCGAGAGCAACAAGTGGTACATCGAAAACTTCGATAACCCGGGTGAGATTGTCGAGATTCCTGCCCAGCAGAACCAGTCGATCCTCATCTCCCGTTGCAACAAGACCATCGTGAAGGTGTCCAGCAAGGCCAATGCCATCGCCATCGACAACTGCAAGGAACTCTCCATCATCGTTGACTCCCTCGTGAGCAGCCTTGATGTCATCAAGTGTACCAAATTCGCTCTCCAGATCGATGGCGTGGCGCCCACGCTCTTGCTAGACCAGGTGGACGGTGCCACAGTCTACCTCGGCCCACAGAGCTTAAACACCGAGATTTTCTCCAGCAAATGCACAGCGCTCAACATCATGCTTCCCCCCAAGGAGGGAACAGACGAAGATACCAAGGAGTGCCCGGTTCCTGAGCAGATCAAGTCCTACGTCAAGGACGGTGTCCTGGTTAACGAGATCGTCGAGCACGCAGGCTAAACACTAATAAATCTTACGACTACGCTTCGGTATATCTCGAACTTATGTGCTTGGTCAGCTGTATACCTTGGACGACATCTAGTACAGCAATAGTTGGCCGGGCTGATTTTTTGACATATACAACCAATAGAAGCACCTTTCCCCCTGGAGTTAAACTCCAATTAGATAAATAAATTCAAACTCTTTCTGTATATTTCACGTGTGTTGTTGTGTAGTGTTGACGAGAGATGGCGTTACCTTGTCAAGTCAATGTTTGTTGAGACACGTATATATATTTATTAGGCAGCCTGAGGCACTGGGCTTGGCCAACAACATATGTAGGTTTTCCTGGGTCCAATTTCCCAATCATGACATTATCAATCTTCACCTCTCATATCTTGCGTTCGACGCAGAGGACGAACCTCATCTTCAGTACCGAATCCACACCTCCTTAGACCGCAGGATTCCTCCTCCGGTGTCTGCGGAATTAGCTCCCCATATCGGATCCGCATCTCCTTCAGTGCAGAGGGTATATTTTCATCCCCCGAAGACAGCCATCACGGACAACTCGGTCAATGTTCGAACTTCCCAGAGTGGTAGTGAGAATCTGGAGAAAACCGCCATCCAATGCAGAAACGTCATTCTCACGTAGCGAGTATAACCCTAGCAAAAGGCTAAGAAGACCAGCAAGGAGGGTGAGGGAGTAAGGCAGAATGATGTTCAATGGTTGGGAAAGCGAGTATACGTTGACCATGACATTGTCCGTTAGATTAACCTTCGTGCTCCAGAGATTCTTGAGGGGGATAATCGACCCGGTGATATTTCCCAATAGAGTATTGAGGAGGCTCGCATTTACCGAGAATTGTTTGTTTCTCATGTCTGTAAGAGACAGGTCGGATAGACTAGTTCCCGTGAAGGAGTGCAGTATCGGGACATCATTAGGGTCAGGGCTTTGGTCTGGAAGCAGTGTTAGTTACATGTTCTTTCACCCCCCCCACCCCCTCCACCCCCCCAACCGAAGGCTTTTCAATGAGTTCCTCATCAAATGGGATGGCAGTTGCTTACTAAAGTCATCGCCCTGAAGATAAGCATATGTATTATAATACTCGAAGCCATCTTTATCTGGGGTAGTGGGGTCTCCTTCGCCCGATGCTGTTATATTCAAGGAACGCGAAAGGAAGCCTGCCATTGGTTACATAAGCAAAAATAGGTTTGCATCAAGGAAGAGAGGTGTCGTTGAAAAGTTGAAACGGTAATCGTCCGGAATCGATGGGGCGTTCCTCATCGGTAGGGCATTTCCAATGTCATTCAAGGTATGGAGTCTATGGACAGAGGTAGGGTCATGGACACATTGAAGAATGGTACATTATTTCGGTAGACAGTCTGAACTGTGCACTCGGCACCAGATGGAACACAGTCCAAACGATGCTCAAGGATATCGAGCCTGTAATGTTCGGTCGTGAATTCTGCAGGCCCAATGTACACGCTTGTATTCAGCTTTTTAACACCTAATCTGCCGTTGAGTTGAAACATGCTGATCTGGAGCCGCGCAGCTGCTTTCCAGTATAACTGGTCGATTGACCTGGATAGGGACGTGGACGCAGATGGATCCCAAGAGGCGTTATACCCGGTAAATGGAAAACGTGGTTGCCAAGCGCCGCGCATAGGTGCTTTTGTTTCCATGTTATATGTGTGGTTATGGTAGCTGCTTCCACACTGGAGATACGAACCAGTAAATCGTAAAACATACGAGCAGTCCGACCCACCGGGAGAGGGCATATCCCAGATCTTATTCGTGATCAGGGTTCGCTCGACGAGATATCGCACAGGGAGAGGGGAGTATTTGTTGTCTTAATCAGGTGCGATTCTGAAAATATCTTGACCATCTTTCTCCGAGTATGAAAATGAGGCCAGTGACTTGTCCGCTATAGCCGAAAATGTCATGTTACCAAGCTTTCCCGGCAAATTCATTGGGTTAGATATACGATGACGGCATGAGGCGATGAATACGTACGTCTTCTGCATTGAATGTGGGCACTGAAAAATCGACCACAATATGTTCGCGGAAGGATGGAGTAACTGTCATCGCCGGGAAACTCATAGCAATGGATGTGCACCATATGATGATTGTTATTAGAATGAGAGGCCACACTTTCTGCAAGATGACTCTATGTTGGACAAATGTCAAACTCGAGCGCATGGAGAACAGCTGCTCAATTATAGAGATCTTGAGCGACGCCGAGCGAAGGACGCGCCACAGATATTGTGTGAAGGAAAGACCCAAGCTGAAACGAAGCAACAGTCCCACAGCACTAGCCGATATTATCGAGATAGTTGTAGAGTAAGTCTGAGGAACTGGAGCCGATCGACCATCCACTGGCTTGCCTTTCAGATATGCGAAAAAGATACCATGGACGACGGCAATCACACAGGCTAGGTGATCCATTAGAAATTGAAAAGCGCATTAGAATGGCTATAGACTGTACCAAAGACATATGATAGAACCATCCAAGTCGGTGTCTTCCAGCCAATTGTCCAACTGCATGTTTGAGGATCTACACTCTGTTCCTCTGTCGTTCCCTTAGTCCTTGATTTGTTCAGCAAATGTATGATCCGGGCCCCATTCGCGTAAGAACAAGATTCATGAAGCCGACTTATCGAACGAGAACATGGCTATGAGGGTTGTAAAAGCGTTGTACGGAAACATATGATCAACATGATCTACAGGCGCTGAGTGACGGGAAGGCCATCAATACCTGTCTGAGCTTGACTTTCTTCTGTTTTTGAAAAAGTGCAATATACAAGGCTGAAACGATATGGTGAGCCTTGTCACCGATTTGCTTAACTTCTGCTTTGACATAGGGCCCACCGATCTTGTAATGACCCCCGAACCGCGGTTCACTTTTATTGATGCTATACATCGAGCAGACTTTGATTGCTACTCCTGGGCTGTTCCAGCCTATCAACGAATGATTACAGAAGACTTAGCCAAGCCAGAGTATTCACTCACTCTCGAGCTTTTTGGACACGAATTATCAAAGAGACTCCATATAATCATTGAATTCTAGGGTTTTATACATTATCGTTGTAATGCAATGCTTCCCGTTAGAGGGCTAACGCCGTCTCATTATATATGCCCTTTGGGTACTTTTGACTTTAGCTCAAGCAGAAGAAAACCACTGGTAATTACTAAACTTAACGATAACTGAAGGCAGGAATCTCACTCTGATGAGGAGGTGTAGATTTCTTTCAGCCTTCAGAAACTTGCTCATGTTGTGGTGAGGAGGATGCATATATGAGAGGTAATTTTGATTTTTAGAAAGGCGTCAACAAAGATATATTAGTTCACTCGAACGTGCCTGCCCAGCTCTGATTACCGAGAACAAAGAGTTGACATTCCAACTCACTGTATACTGAGTACTACTACTACCATGAGACACGACGTGAGAGTGGGCCGAGGCTCGGACTTCTCCGTACTATAGTCGATAATTCGAGAAATTGAGAACTGCCTAGTACACACTGCGTAAATAATAGAACGTGTCCATGACCTTTCGCTCCATACTAAAGTAAACTACTGCGTGCGCATATAACTGACTTGAAAAAGAATCTCACTATGACTGGGTGATGGTCGGTCTAGAACTCCGTACTACGGGAAAAGAATAAATGAACACTAAGATTTAATTTAATTTAAATTTATCTAGCTTGGCAACAGGCTCATGAAATGACATACAGCGCCAAGCCAACCGGTGGAACTAACCAATAAACAGGTTGTTGATGTGCTCCCATGCTAGGTATTTTGCCTAGTATACTCAAAAGCACTAAGCGATGTAACCTTGTCTGAGTCATTTACTATCGTTATCTGCTTTTTAAGTCCGTGTTTCTGGATCGAAATCGAGCAAAAGTTCCATCCCATCTGCCATGGATTTCCACCCTAGCGAGCGTCCATCCGAGGGCGATCTCTTCGAGTTCGAACGGTGGGATCGAGGTTATGACGCGGAAGATATATGCTGCGTTATCTGTGGTGCCCCAAGCTTTGTAAGCTCTTTTTCAGTTTCCCCCAAAGCAATAGCCCACTTATAAAGGTAAAGGTAGTAGTAGAGGAAGTGCGAAATCGAAACCTTGAGAGATACAAGTGGTTTGTACCACAGGCCATTCGAGCTGAGAATTACCACTATGAAAAGGATTGGGATATTGCGAGCTTGGAAAACCACGATCTACCGCTAGAAGTACTCGGGACAGATGGTGGGTTACTCTTCGAACTCTACCACGAAAACCATTAGTCTGCCAGAGAGGTTCCTGACTCCAAGGAATAGAGATCGAGATCTACGGTGTGCATTACGGAGAGCAGTTGTCAAGATTAGAACCTAGGCGTTACGGGGAGCACTCATCAAAATTAGTACACGATCTATATACAGAGTACCCGTATGTAACGGTACATTCAGAATGCCTTGATATGATGCGACGTCTGGTAGAGTATCGCCAGGTTCTTCTAAGCGCGGGAGTGACGGCTGGTCCAAAACATCCTACCACCCTCAGCCAGTTATATGAAGTGTTTGAACAGCGATTAACTAGGGTGTTGGATGGCCATCCCTACGGGCTCAAGGGTGCTCCCTACCCCCGTCGTGTAGTTGAACCGCACTGGTACTACTTTAGGGATACCAATCTTTTTCATAATGTCGCGTGGGCCTTTGGAGAGCGAAAAGTCTATGTAAGTTCTGCATAAGTATAGCCAATCGTGCTTCACTAACAACCCGCCACTAGGAGTACGAAATGGCACCCTTTCCTATCCCAGGGCTTACCCAGGAAATTCTTTCATATCTACGGCCTCTTCCGCCGTCCTTGCAAGGAAAACCTAAATTATCTCTTGAACTGGAGGCACTACCCACCGAGATCCAAGACATGATCTATAATAACCTACACCCTTTCGTCAATCCCGGGCAGACATGCACCCGTGCGTTACCATCAAGCCTGTGGCGTGACATGCTTTTCAACCGGCAGATTTTACCATGGCTTTGGGATTTAGATATATCCGCCCTACAGAGCTACCCTGTGACACCCGATGCGGGCAACTTTCTGACATATGAGGCAGATGATGTTTGGGATTGGGAGCTCCTTGTTCGGACCCTTGCACAAGTGGAGGTGTTTGAACCGGGAAACCCTTTACAGCATGCTCCACTCCGTTTGCGGAATCGTCGGCGGATCTGGAGACTACTAGAGGAGGCCGAAGATGAAGATATTGAGGAGTGGCTCGACTCTCATGTGTATAAGAGAAAATGACGTGGATATACGGAGATACTAATAAAGCCATGGTATTTAGCCGAGGTTCAGTAGCTACTGGGCATGACCTGAATACAACGCTGCCCCATTAAGAACTAAAAGTTTGGTCAGGGAATAAATTACAGAGTAAGTAGTCTTAATCCCGCTAGTCATAGTTAGTAACATGGAATGAGTCTACTTCGGCTATGTGGATTACGATATACTAACGCATACATTTGGAAAAGGTTTATTTTGAAGCCAGCAACGTCACATTGCCCCGGATAGGGGCTTTGAGATTTCCATTCCAACCATGATTGAACGCTTTTCACGGGATAGAAAATGTGAAGGATACAAACAAACCCAGGCAAGCTAACATGACCATCAATCTCCGAGATTGTGGCTTAACGCTCCCAACCTCCTCGTCCAGTCCCTGAAACTAGCCCATAATAGAATTTTTTTAGCCCACTAAGGAAGGCAAATTAGTGCTCTCGACCCCCCTAAGAGGAGGCTCGATCAAGCATTAATCAATTATGATCGGATAAATCGGATGGTCCGCTTAACTGTAAATCCTTTAGCTGGCTCGAACCGAGACCCTCTCTATATTCTTGGCGGACATGGTATAGTACCCCGTAAGCAACCATATCGACAACGACAATGTTGTATTTACATTAGGTATAGGCAACGCCTACGAGGGTATTGAAGTTAAAAATCGTGTGGCCAGCATGACCCCCAATCAAAAGTAGGACAAGCTACAGTTCAGTGACAATAGAAACGATCCCAAAGAAAAAAAAAAAAAAGAAAAAAAAAAACCTATAAGAGAAGCAACAGCAAAGGACTTCCAAGTATTTACCCGCACACGCCTTGAGACTAGAAAGCGCTGGCATGAGATCGTGCTCTTTAGGCGTTGGATCCTTTATGAACGATGTCACAGTGTTTAGCTAGATATCTCTTAGTGCTTTTCACTAAGAGCCATAGTTCCTGTACAATCTCTTTATAAATTAATCTCAATCTCACTAACTATTAGGATCTGGTCTACATACCCTTGCCCTCTATTTTGTTGAGAGCTAGCTAACCGCAATTCCGGTTACATCGCTTCCAACGTAGATGTAGTATCCCTCGGCATCCAGTATACCAGCTTCGTAAGTAACAAGGGTTGGAGGATCAGAAATAACATAAATACTCCCCATTGCATCGCCTCGACGATGACAGACAATAAGATATGCCAGCTTCTCAGGAATAACACATCCTAGCAGCTAAGAGGTTGTTGTTTCACCTTTCTCAGGTAACCCTCGTCCGTTCGTTTTATCTTGATTTCTTTTCTATAATTCCCATGGCGCCTTCCTACAGGGGAAGTTCTACCATTAGAGGTAGTTTCAATCTTTACCTAACTTTCCTTTTGTGTGCAAATTTTATTTTTTCTGACACCACTTTCGCTTATTCATGGCTCCCTCCACGGAAGGATAACGGCCCAAAGCCCACGCCTACACAAAGTGACAACGTGACGGCTTTGACTGCAGTATCAACAGCTACCATAGAATACTCCTCAGCCGTCGCGATAGAGTCGAAAGTGTCCTATCAGCTATCTCAGTTAGCTACCGTCCCGGCCATCCCTCTTCCGACGGACCTCCCATATTATGATATCCTGAATCAAGTCGTGGGCCTCATGCCCCCGCTTCAGACCGGTAGTGTGCAGAACAATAGTGTCCAAATGTTGGCGGCTATGAGGGATAATCTAAGGTCAAGTGAGAACTCGACCACGGGACACCTCCACGAGCGCGCAACCGGGCTCAAGGTCATGATTGTCGGCGACTCCATATCTCAGGGCCGAGAGTGAGACTTTACGTGGCGGTATCGGATATGGGAGTGGTTTCAGTCTCAAGGAGTTGCTGTAGACTTTGTTGGGCCTTATACAGGCACGGTACAGCCTGATAAGGCAGCACCACCGTCCCCGCCAGCATTATACGGGGAACCCCAACCAACAGGCGCGGTCAAAGTCAGTGGGGGCTACGCGAAAGAAGTGTCATCGGAATTTCCCAAAAGTCATTTCGCTGTTTGGGGCCGTGCTGCTGCTGTGGATAAAGGCCTGATCAAGGAGGTCATGGCAGCTCACCCAGCAGATTTGATGCTGCTATTACTGGGCTTTAATGATATGGGGTGGTTCTACAGTGATTCGATGGGAACTTTGGACAGTATTCATACGTTGATCAGCAATGCTCGGGCTGCAAATCCAAAGATCAAGTTTGCCATTGCTAATGTACCACAGCGGAGTTTCATTGGTGGCCGTGAGGATCTTCCTGTTAGCACCAATATATACAACTCTCTACTGCGCGATACTATTCCCAAATGGAGCACCACAGCTTCTCCAATCTATCTTGTTGAGCTGGAAGAGAACTACAACTGTCAACCTAGTTCATGTCCAGTGGGTTCCGATGGACTTCATCCAAACGCGATGGGTGAATACCAGATTGCTCGCGCCTTCTCGCAAACCCTAGTGAAGGATTTCAGGATCGGGTCATCCGCACTGAGTATACCCAATCATGTTCCTGCCAGGCCCTTACCGGTACCTAGCAATTTCAAGGTATTCGCTAGCCCTGGTGGCGTAACTGCAACATGGGATCCAGGTAAGCCATCCTGCAACTAAGTCCGGGGGATCCTTTTGCTGATTGAAGATATCTAGTCTATGGTGCGTATAACTACGACGTTCGATCCAAGATCAAGGGGGGTATCCCGAATTTCTCCTCAGGCAGCGTATCCTCCAATCGATGGGATGCTACTTGGCCTATAGATGGCTGGGAGTATGAGGTTCAGGTGCGCGCCAGTGCTGGGGACACTATCAAGGGCGACTGGACCACTACTTTAACCGCAACAGCCCATCCCCAGACAGCGGAAGCCCCTCAGAACGTGATTGTTAGCGCTACCACAACTGGTTTCGACATATCCTGGGATCCACCCACAGGCTCTTACAGTGACTCTGTTATCGAATATAACGTTCTTTACTGGGACAAGGACGCAGAATGTGATTTTATTACCGGAGCCGCGTTTACAGGCACTTCGGCCCACATAGATAGCCTAGTTGCAGGGCACCGTTACTTCGTGGCCGTTGAGACCTGGAATGCCGCTGGACAGGGCTTTCCAGCTGTGGTTCGAAGTGTTATTCCTGGCGCTGGCACTCCACCACCCCCAACGGACCTGAAGATCATCGCAGCGGATCAAACCACAGTCCATCTTACGTGGGATAGCCTCTCTGCTGCGGCGGGCTACCGGCTTTGGTTACGCAATGTAAATGCCACAGGCAGTAAGCTTGAGGCATTGAACTACACGGTGGAAGCTGCTTGTAGTGATCAATACTATCTGTTTCCCGGTACATGGAACTATGAGTGGTGTGTTAGCGCTTTCAATGGAAATGCGGAGTCTGCCAAAGGGAAATGTGTCCTCGCCCCATCCCCGGACGAAGACGGTGGTGCGGCACCAACCTGCCCACCCGCTCATCAATGGTGTCCGAATGGTGGTGGCGTCGGAGGTGGCAGTGGTGGAGGAGGAGGCTCCGGAGGCGGTGGTGATAGCGGTGGCAGCAGCGGTGGTACTACGGAAGAGCCATGGCCGGTAGTCACCAATGGTCAATGCAAAGGTCCGGATTGTAAGAACGGACAATGTACGGGGCTTCTTTGCGCTTCCTTTGGCTGCAGTGGATCAGGCTGCTTGAATGGCGTCTGTACTGCCTTTGGGCAATGTACTGTCCATGGATGTCTTGGATCCGGATGCAGAGATGGTGTCTGTGTGGCGGACGACTGCATCACGGCCGGCTGCGTGGGGGATAACTGCGGAGAAGATGGAAAGTGTACTGGCGACCGCTGTATTGGTCTGGGCTGTTCTGGATCTGATTGTGGAAAGGATGGTATCTGCACCGGTCCGGATTGTTGGGAAGGGACATGCAGTGGTAGCGGATGTGCCAACGGGATTTGCTCCGGTAGCAAATGTTCGAGCTATGATGGCTGTGTCGGCAAGGACTGCAACAACGGTTCCTGCAAGGGAGACGACTGCAGCAGCTGCTCGGGCTCAGACTGTCGTGATGGTGACTGCACCGGTGACAACTGCATCGGATGTACGGGGCCTGACTGTCATAACGGCCAATGTACTGGTTCGAACTGCTACGGCTGCACGGGTCGGGACTGCCATCATGGGAGCTGTAGGGGAGAGCATTGCAGCAGCTGTGTAGGATCAGATTGTGTCGTTTCTAATGGCAAGAGCGGCTGTAGGGGAAAGCATTGCACCAGTTGCACAGGTCTCGGTTGTTCGTGCTTCGGATTGAGCTGTGGCTGCAGTGGTTCGGGATGCAGCGGCTGTACTGGTCTCGGGTGTAGCTGCACCGGGTTATTCTGCGGTTGTACAGGTCCTACATGCACTAGCTGTCAGGGTCTGGGCTGCATGTGTAGTGAGGCTGGCGGTTGCAGTGGTGGAGAGGAAGGAGGTGGAGGCGGCGACGACGATGGGTCGACACCAACCGATCCGTCGTGCAGCATCAAAGAGACGGCCACTATCTGCGCTGAATATTGTGCTGTGACGACTAACGCAGCTGCCACGACAACAACCTCGTGCACGTCGACCACTTGCATGCCAACCGTGGGCTGCAGTGTGACTGGGACGACAACTTCGACAATCACCTCGACGAGCAGCGCTGATTGTCCCTTTGTAACGGACCCTGTCGCCGGCGAGAACCCAACCGACAACTGCAGACCATGTGCCTGGGCCTTTGACTCTGTTTCAGATGTAGACACGGAAGGAAATCTGAGAATCCGAGACGGCTTTCAACCTAACTATGCTACTATTACAGCGCAGGCAGTAGCTCCTACTCATGCTGGTCTGGAGAAGAGGGCCCCTGCGGTAACTGTTACTGCCCTTGGGGGTTGCAAGTTCACACCGGGGGCATCTGTTACCATCCCAGCCTACAAAGGGCCACAGAACTATATCAATTCAGCCATCGATGGAGAACTTCCTGCGTCCCTCTCCATGTCCCGATGGTACAGCAAGACGACGGTTAACTGTGCACCCACAACCACCATGATTTCCGATCGCCAGATACGGCCTTTCCTAGGAAATGACAATCAGTCACCGACTATCGAACATTGCTGTAAGTATCCTTTCGACATCTCAAATAGGTACTCAAAGAGGCACTAGAATTGCAATTTGCGGCTAACGGCTCATAGTTGAATTGAACTGGATGGACCGCTTCTGGGATTATCTGTTTACAGAACAACACTACTCCTGCGACAACTTCAACCGACTCATGTTCGACAACTGCAACAATCTTCAGCCGGTTTATAATAACTTACCGGGTGACAACAAGTGGGACTTTATTGGTATAACTCAAGAGCTGAATAAGTTCAAGGCAATGGTACGTTAGAGTCTCCGTTGTTCAACGGTTCTGCTGACACATACGATGGCAGATAGGGGGTGACTACGAAGCGCATGTTGTCAAGCAAAGCGAGAATGCTCGTAAGAAAATTATAGTGGAAAAGAAACCGTGGAAGGCTTCAGAAGCAATCATAAGGGCCCGAATGGGGATTCTAGAAAAAATCGTTCTTGCATGCGATATATGGACATCAAGCGACATCTTCGGTCCACTTGATTCAACAAATTATAGGATATACTCCACTTTGTATGTGATCTCCCCATCTTTGGATGACGTGCCTTAACTGAGACACAATAATAACCATTTCTCTTAGGAAGGACCTTGATGCCGATCTAGCGGCCACATATAGATATTGGATGACAAATGTCAGGATTCCCCGGCAGATGAAGGCAGGAAGCCGAGAAGCTGCACTCTTGGTCACATCCATTGAGGACGGACTCAACATCGCGACTACCAAGGCCTTGGAAACAGCAGATGGAGCAGATCGTCTGAGTGAATACCACCAAGCGTTGCAGGCTATACGTGAGAGATACCACCTTGACGGCACCGGGAACGTGTGCAACAAGCCCATCAATCTGAACTGGGATAGGGTTACTACACCTGGCGACCTGAGACCCCCCCCTCTTGCTCGCCGAGATTCATGTCCATTCCCAATCACGACCAAGGACCCTACCAACCCTACTAGCACATCTACTGCTCCAACAACGACTACCACATCTTTATCTATCCCAACAGCGACCAAATCCAGCGATCCGATTTACTGCTTCAATGAGCACAACGATGGCTCCTACGTGCCATTCAAAGTCACTGGGGCAAAGGCAGCGATGGAAGCACTTTGCTATAACGGCAACTCTTTAAAGCCTGGAGGACCTCCGTACACGTATGTATACAGCGATCCTTCTGGAACCAACGTGATTGGATCTGTTCAATGGGCCCCCGATCAGTCTGGCTGCAAGCCCGAGAAGGAAGTCGAGATGAAAATTCACGTACGTGCCCATGTTTCCCCCATGTTATTTACAGCACTAATCAGACCTTTAAAATTAGTGCGAAACTGCGATGGAGCATTGCTTCTCCAAATGTAGAAATCCTACCGAGGGATATGGTGGTGCTTTTGTTGAAAATCAAGGGTTTGGTTGCATTCAGTGGATGCTTTATGCGCAGAAGAGCAACACGCAGTGCAGCTGCAACGAAAATGGGTGTACACCTGATAGCCCTGCATGTTGTGCTAATGGGTCCTGTGGTACGAGTAATTCGTTGATGTCGGCGGAGATGAAGTTGATCTCGCTGTATGAGGTAGATCCTGCGCTGAGCCTAAGTTTGAACACGAAGAGTACAGAGGACGATTTGAACGCTTGATATTGGTCCACCGATATCAAGAAGTGGCAGTCGTGCTCTGTATTATGTCTCACTAACAACGACAATATGTTTTATTCTTTCTATGCTCATGTATTCATATCATTGTTGTCAGCTGAAGCCCGTCTCCTGGTAACAGGGCCGATGATATAACACCTCTCCAGTCCACCCAAGGGGTGTCTACGAGTAGTATCTAGCTAATTACTTTCACATACCCTACAACTCTACGGGTATCATAGCAAATCTCGCTTATGTATCATGAGGAAATAATGCGTTCAACCCTCCCAATTTGGGAAAGAGAGAGAACGGGTATATTCTATATCATATGTAGAGCCAAAAGGCTTAATTATAATTGTCATCATAGCCCTCTTCCAATTTCACCAAGTCTCCATTTCCCTTCAGTCAAATGAAAATACCAACATATGAATCTCTTACTGACCATGATGTCAGGAGCTGGACAACTCTCCCTGAGCTGATAACCAAGTCGCGCGAGTCCATCTTCTATGACGAGTCTCGCATGGTATTAGTACACATAGACGAATGGAAAGGTTGAACTAAGCACAACAAGGACTGACTCTGGATACTATAGAGCTACGTGTTTACAGTACAGTTCCTTAACTTCATCTAGGCGTCTGTTTCTTTCCACGTTGCGCATCTTCTTCTTTATGAGTGCCCGGATTATAGCTACTTGCCAATCGTCCCTCGCAGCGTTTTTTGCCTCTGGATATTTTTACCTCGAAAATACTTCTTCCTGTGGCTGTCTTTGCCAATATGTGATGGGAGGCATGAAGAGCGGGAGTAAAGAAATATGGGATATCGTAGAATGGTTAGAAATGAAATTATTCAACGAAATTCGGTGACTTGTAGGGAATACATGTCTTTACAAGTGAGCAAAGGACTCATATTTGACGGTTCATGGAAGTATACCATCTAGCTTGGGGCTTTTTGCTGCGCACTGAGCTGTAGCCTGTAATATAGAGTACTCACCGAGCAAGGTCTTGACTACTGTCACTCAAGAGGAGACACCCAAACTAGGGAATTCCAGGTCAAGAAAATCCGGTTCGGATAGATACGTACATATTTCAGAAGAACTTTCTGTCAATGTATATGCGTATGTGTTATTCTGTTTAAGAATATATTTAACCTAAGTAACCAATCTCCCACACAGCCAGAACAAAACACGTTAGAAAAACACTCAATACTCGAAAGACAGATGGCCTTCTCCGGTACTCAAACTGAACTCTGTACGCCTTAACAAAACAAACGAATCAGTAAAGAGAGGAGACTTCCTGATCTCCGAAGCATTGTTGACGCCTTGAATTAAATAGATGAGAAGTTGGGTATTAAATGTACGTATGTCATGCGCCCTTGGCTGCCCCGTGTAGATTTGTGGAAAACGGGAGGCGATCGTGTTCATGTCCAGAAGATGAGCCTGCACCTTGAATGTCAGTTAGGCAGCGAGTGTCCTGCATCGTGGTAACAAGTCAACGAGAAAAAGAAATAGAAAAAAAAAAAAAAAAGGCTAAAATAAAGACGATGTATACTGATGGAGATGTGGAGCGGCCCAGGTGGATTGTGTCGACGGGCGATTTGGCAATCTTGGTTGGCTTTAATTGATGCCTGATGAATTATGCTTTTGTACATCTAGTCCTCTCAGGCGTTTGGCGAGTAGGCTTTCGCCAGCTTCAGAGCAGCTCTTGGGACTAAATGGATAGCCACCGTATCCAACGTCCCCTTTGGTGAGTTTACTATACGTTCCACTACCAGTTTGATAGGTTTCGGCTGCATCGTAGTTATGCAGGGGAAGCACTTCTTCCCTTAGGGACGGAATGGGGCGGAAAGGATGAGGAGCTCGCTGCGCTGAGCGGGCATCCTTCAAATTACTAGAGAAAGCCTGCGCTTCAATGGCTGGCATTGGTGCTGCAGGCTGGCCCTCTCGTCCACACGGGGAAGGGAGATCGGGCAATGAAGCTGGAACGGATCCTTGATCAACAGCCGGTTTTCGGCATCCTCTATCCGTTACTATCTTCGTATTCAACTGCGTCTGATTGATATCACGAGCAGGCTTATACGGCATATATCGGGGCTCCGGATGCTGAATCTCATTCCGGAGCCTTTCTTTGCCGTCAGGAACTCGATTAGCAAAAACAATACGGATGCTTGAGTGTAGATAGAAACGGCCCTTGGACGGACAGCATATGTTCAAATGTATCAGATACCTCAGGATGGGCTTGTCCTTTGGATCCTCCGATGAGTTCAAGGACGCCTCGGGACGATCAGTCCCGTAGTTCTTCCGCGCAGTCAACGGCATATCGATGACAGGACCCGCTGAATAGCTTCTCTGCCGAATAAATGTCTTGGTACCAGGTTCCATGTCACTGAGATCGTATGGAATCAAAAATAATTTTACAGCTGTCTTGTTCGGGTTCTTAATCATCACTTGGAGCTGGCCCTGTTGAGGTATTCGATAGCAACCCCCTGGCGGACATCTGGGCGACTCGGCCCTTCTGTGTCTCTTCTCTCGTCTGCGGAGAGAATCTTGGTCATTGGCCCTCGGCGGTGGTGGATTGTCTGTCATTTCACCGCGGGCACCTGCGGGGCTTTGATGATGCCTGCGACGTCGACTCGAAGCTGCTGTGTCCTTTGGAAGGGAGTTTTCCAAGTCTATCAAGCCAACATAAGGACTGGGGTTATCGTCCGATATCGAGCGGCCGCTACCCGAAGTGGGATAGCTGTAGAAAACTGCCGGAAACGGAATTGTGACGTGGGGCGGGCACTTGAGATTCGCTTTACATTTTCCTTTCCCCAAAACCCCTATTTGCGCCGTGAAATCGAGTGGCTTTGATGGATTCATCGACATTCTCCCACGTAGAATAGATTCTTCATAGGATCCGACCAACGGTGCATGCGGTCTGGAAGACTTTTCCGACGCAAGTGAGGGCCTCCTGGTTCTGGGGGATGGACAATGTACCGAAGATGCCAATTGAAGAGTATACGCCGAGTTTAAAGACCGGCGAGGATTACAATGATGGAACGGGAGCGGTTCATTCCATTTCCCGGGGGAATGGTTGGACTGGAAATTGAACGCATCTCGATGGGTTGTGGGCGACGATTGAAGGTGCCGGAAAGACTCGGGCGGTAGCGTACGGCGCCGGCTGGCCCTCTCCAAGGGACCAAGCTGCTCAGATAAATCGGTTCTGACAGAAAAATCTAAATCGGTATTATTCGCCTGGTATACAAGAGGGCTTGTCGGCGCCTTTAGGACGTAGCTAGAAGAGAAGGAGCCCACAGACGGTGCCCGCGAGCGGGATGGTGGCCTTGCGTTTTCATTAGACACATTGACTGTGATAGATGGCGGTCTCGTGGGCGATGCAAAAACGGGAGCCGTGAACCAGGGAGCAGTTGGGGAAGAGCCCAGAAGGGGGAAACGTGAGCCGGAATCAAGTCCGGGTAGCGGTGACTGCGGCAATGGTTGCGGATCTTGACGGGCCCCTTCTCGAAAGTCGCCAGAATGCAGTGCTGACCGAGGGCGTTGGATATCAGCTGGGGAGCCTAATTCTTGACCATTTGTACCCGGGCTATCACTAGGAATGCCTTGCTCAATAAATCCAGCTTTCATGTCGGACGTCTTGTCCGGTGTGCGGGAGATGCAATGGCCAGCATTTGAATCTCCATACTATATCATAACCCATGTGAGCAAATGCGCATGCCGCAAAAACACAGTTTTCTTATCATTTTTTTTTTTTTTTTTGGGAAGAGTTGTGCCTTTCTAGAGGAGATAGTATACGTACCAGCCTATGCGCCCAAGCCGAGGTATCGGCGCTCTTGATGTAATGAATCAATTCCTCTCGGTCGCAGGTACGCAGATCTGATGGACTGCAATCCGATAGAGATGTCTCACCAGGGAAATTAGTACGCCTCCCCGAGGATTCCAGCTCTCCATGATGACGGGCCCACGAGGAGGCCCCAACTTGACGCTCATCTTCTCTTATCGGTGGGTGGTCATCCGACCATAGGTCATAGAACCGCTGACGATCTGGATCCTGGAATATGGGCATGATCACCGGGGGTTAGTTAGTATTGACTGGAAATAAAAAAAGCTATACATCCCAACGAAAGATAGTTAGGCCGACGGGAAGGTACAAGGGCGCATGAGGGAAGTAACGAAGGTATAAACGGAAAAGATGTTGGGGTTGAAGTGGCGGTCTTTGTCAGGAGTAGACTTGAGGTATGACGGGGATCGGTCTATGGACGGAACTGAAGTAAGGTGATGCGACGTGGGTGAGCTAAAGTTTGTTAGTTGGGAGGGAATTTGGGTGAGCTATTTCAATGACGAGAGTATAATTGAGTCATGAGGCGCGTGAAACGACATGGGGTGGGCTTTTTGGTCCACCGCGAACAAATCCGTTGGCTTCGGTTTTTTTTTTTTTTTTTTTTCCTTCTTGGGCGGAGGGGAACGGGATTAAATTGCAATGGGATCATTGAAATTTCCCAAATCCACGGGTAACGTTACCGTTTGGTTACCATTATCTACTTTTCCCTTATCGCAATCCATCTCTTGACAAAGTAAGTCTGAATGTATCATTGTATGAACTAAGATCCTAAGGTACCCATATATTTTTTTTTTTTCTTCTTCTGTCTCTTTAAACACCCGGGAGTAGATCATTGTGTCATTACAACATCTACCACTTTCATCTTTCCCCCTCCGTGACACCTCATATGCGCGCACCCTCGTCCTGCGTGAAACTATTGATAATCGGAACATTCTGCACGGGGAAAACCAAAGTCTACACTTCCTAAAGATTTTACCTACTGTCCGCCAACAACGTTCCGTTTCTTTTCCTTCGTACAACTGAACCACTTGCCACGTCAATTGTTGCCCAACAAGATCCAAAACCAAGTGAATCATTCAAAACAGTCAAACTACCTAGCCCAAGGTCCGTACCGACTAAGGCAGACAACAAAAAAAAAAA